TGACATTAGCATACACAACCATAATGACACGTGATAAAATTTGTAGTGGATATTAATATGACATATAGGAAATTTACAGTGTAGCGTTTGACAGAGAGGATGTCATTATTATACCATAGTTACCATGGTTACTCACAAATAAGATCACGTGGATCATCTAGTGAATACAAGTTTGTGAAAAAGAGCTCCATTTGAACGAAGCATGCATAGACATTATTTGCTTTTGTAACAGCTTATGTATTTTAATTTTGACTTTCTTTCACACTTTAGATGATCAGAACATCCTCTTATCCATTAATTGTACCAGCACATCCATTACATATGCTGAGGTCGAATGTGTCGCCTGCACGCACACACGCACACATGCACACATGCACATACGCACTCAAAGCATGACAGAGTAACCACAGTAATATGAGTGAGTGAGTTTGGTTTTACGCCGTTTTTAGCAATATTCCAGCAATATAACGGTGGGGGACACCAGAAATGGGCTTCACACATTGTACCCATGTCGGGAATCGAACCTGGGTCTTCGGCGTGACGAGCGAACGCTTTAACCACTAGGCTACCCCCCCCCCCCCGACCCGCCCAGAACCCCCCCCCCCCATCTAGAATCGACAGATGACAGAATCGGTATTCTTTAACTTATTTTGAGTAGTATATACTAGTATTGTGATCGTGTCCTCGTAGCTTATGATGGCATGGCGCCAAGACGAGTATGTAAGGGTTAGACAGGTTCTGTACTTAACAATGGGGTTGCGATGTTGTAAGTATTGGCTAATGTTCAACCCTGCCGTGACTAGTGGCACATGGGGATAGCCGTCAACCACTAGTAGGTGAAATACACTAGGATACATCACTATAATGACTTGACAAGACGCGTTCCGGATATCTACTGCTGGCAAGTCTGGATATACTTACCTTGATCATGGAGGCATGTTTGTCGGCGTGTCTGAAGACACTCATCTCGATGGCGGCTTGTTCCTTGTAGGCGTGTCTGGTGATACTGACTTCGATGGTTGGTGTTTGTTGGCTTGTTTGAAAATACCGATGTAGATGGAGGATTTTGTGTTCTTTGGCGTGTTGAAGAAGACACTGATCTGGATGGTGGGTGTTTGTTTGTTGGCTTATCGAAAACCATAATGATTGATGTCGATGGTTGGTTTTTGTTTATTGCAACATTTGACATTGTGTTACACGTCTTTGTTGAGAGGGGGCGGTCGGGTAGCCCAGTGGTTAAAGCGTTCGCTCGTCACGCCGAAGACCAGGGTTGATTCCCGACACGGGTACAATGTGTGAAGGCCATTTCTGGTGTCCCCCGCCGTGATATTGCTGGAATATTGCTAAAAGCGGCGTAAAACCATACTCACTCACTCACTTTGTTGAGAGAAGATATAGTAAGTATTTACATGAAATACAGATTGACGGAAAGTAAGAGTTTCAAAGGTATGTTGTATTCTTGCTGTTCCGTTTTAGCTCCAGAAAGTACTGAAATAACACATATTTATAGTGGTCTTTACAAATTCGACATATACGTGTGTTTCTATATAAGGAAACTGTCTCCTTATCTTTGCAAAAAATGAATTCAGTTTCTATCACAACGTCTACATGAACAGCGAATGTTGGCTACAGGGTGTTATGTTGAAGGTTTCCTATGGTTAATTATATCAGGCTTTGATGTATCAATCATCAACGTGTTGGTCTTACTTTGAAAGACGTCGTGTCTTTCTTTCCATGAGAGTGATCCTTACAATATTAATTGAACCGGTAAATAATGAAAACTGTCAACTAGAATCTCCCTTCCCTTACTTTCCGCCCCTGTTGAGATGTTTCAAAGTAAAAATATAAATTGTTTTTCCCTACACGCTCAGCTGTGGTTGATTAACTCTTACCACATGGTGCGATTTATACAGAAACTGAACAAAATTCAATATCCGTACCGTCGACAGCGGCGTAAAGTTTTTAATGTAGCTGTGCGGCATAGCGACAGTGATGTATCTGTAGCTGCTGACGACGCTGCAGAAAACGAGGACTGAGACGTGCGCCAAGTGCCAACCCCCATCATTCTCCATCTCCTGATCCGCACCCTCTGTGACCGAAATGCATCATGGGATTATTCCCTGTCAAAAACTGCCGCCTCTAATCTTGCTAAGAATAGGCCACTTGCAAGCCCTTGAAGACATGCATCCCCCGGCTTCTGAATCGGAGAGATAATTTTGCTCCTGCAGTCAAATCAATTCAGGAAATCCGTAGGATCACCCGTATCCTGTAATCCAATTTCGCTACAAAATCCTCACATCTTGCACCCCATAATTTGTCATATGTACTTACATCAAGACGGACCAATCACGTCTGTGTCACGTGGTCGTGGTGGGACCTCATCACGCCCTTGTAAGCGGAGTAATACTGCTCTATTGACTGCCATGATGAATGGAACATGTCTGCAGTGTGTATTGATCAGGCACAATTATTCATTGCATGGAAGAGATTTGGTCGGACGTGATCAAATGAACAATAAAGACCCGACTGTGACTCTATGTCTGTCCTGATACACGCTTCTGGGACTGAAGCCTGTCACAGTCAGGTGGTTCATGCTTACTAAATGTATTTCATGTCTTTGTGCGAAGATTTGGTAAATAGCACTTTATTGTGCCTGGTCGAACGGAAACATTGTGTCAGACTCGCGAGATCTGTGGAATGATTGCGTGATTTGATTGACACACACTGCAGTATGACCGGCAAAGATAATCGAAAACTGGAAGTGCTGCTTTGTTGAGGGGAGGGTTCAAGTTGCCACATATTAATTTTCAATGATGAAAGAGGAAGTTTGATGGCATTGACAACTTTACTAACAATCTATTATGTGTAACCTGTTTTCCAAATTAGCTTTGAATGGAAGAGGCATACATGTATGATGGCATAACGATTCTTGAATAAACCATAATTTGGACTACACGAAACTACGGTTATAACGAACTCAATGGGACCACTCATTTAGTTCGTTATAACCGAAGTTCGTTATACGCATAAATACAGCATACAGTATATTAAAACCATTGTCTATTCATGGACAATATTATGTATAGTGGTAGACCGGACGGCGAAGAGAAACATTAAGTCCCTTTCACTGAAAATATTAGTTGTGAACATTCTGTGGAACTCACAAGAAATACCAGCAGGAAGAAAGACGTCGCATCATTGTGACGTTACATTTTTTCTAGGGTCAACCATTTATTGACCTTGACCTTCACACACGTAGGATGAAACTGTTTTCATGAACAGATCGTGCCATGGTGGTACAGTTATAGCGAATCTTGGTTGTCATTTTCCTGCCCTTTTGCTAACATTACTCTTTGGCTGTTAATTGTCGTTTTTTCTGCGATATTAGTGTGAATACATACAGCATGGATGTTTTAAGTCACCAGACCCGTACATTATGAACACATCTACTATGAGTGAGTGAGTGAGTATGGTTTTACGCCGCTTTTAGCAATATTCCAGCAATATCATGGCGGGGGACACCAGAAATGGGCTTCACACATTGTACCCATGTCGGGATTCGAACCCGGGTCTTCGGCGTAACGAGCGAACGCTTTAACCACTAGGCTACCCGACCGCCCCACACCTACTATGAACTGAGTGGGCGTAAAATCCAAAATAGCGATGACAATTATATGAATCAATCTGACACTAGAGACGACGGGTGTTTGTGGAAAGGGAAGTTATGTCCCACCAGCAGCACCCGCTACTCTGAAACCTAATGGGGCGGTCGGGTAGCCTAGTGGTTAAAGCGTTCGCTCGTCACGCCGAAGGCCCGGGTTCGATTCCCGACATGGGTACAATGTGTGAAGCCAATTTCTGGTGTCCCCCGCCATGATGTTGCTGGAATATTGCTAAAACGGCGTAAACCCATACTCACTCACTCACTCACTCACTCACTCACTCACTCACTCACTCACTGAAACCTAATGTACGCGCAAGTTTTAGAGTTGACATATTTTCTTTTATGCAAGGCTGTGGTTGATGTTTTAAACAAGCAAATGCCATCTGAAGTATTCCGAGATAACAATACGGTATGTGAATTGCTGGACTTCCTCATTGATAACATCTGTGTAAAATGTGGGGTAAGACATTTAGGAAAGAAGTAGGCATCCCCATGTGCACCACGTGTGGTCTTCTTCTTGCTCATCTGTTTCATTATGCATATGAATAGGAATTTCTGCTCGATTTGGCAAAGTCAAAACAAGGTTATTTGGCCAAGAAGTTCACTTCAGAAGCTTGAGATATATTGATGATCTGATATCGTTCAAAAACCATCAAATAGCCAATTCCCTTCCACTGATTTACCCACTTAAACTAGAAATGAAGGAGACCAGTGAGACTCCCTCGTGTTTCATATTTAATTCCATGCATAAAGATTCAGAGTGACAAAACACACAAGGCTGTATGACATGAGAGATGACTTCAATAGTCAACTTCCCTTTCATGTCAAGCAATATTCCAGCAGCTCCAGCCCTTGTTGTCTACATTTAGCAACGTTTGAGGTAAAATCGAGCATGTTCTTGCTACCAACATTGCAAAGAGCGTCATACGACTCTTGCTTAGAAGCTGTTTGATCAAGGTTGCAAAATTCAAAGCCACAGTGAAGCTTTCAAAAAGTTTTATGATGGAAGCGTGGGAGACATTTCCAAAATGACGAATCAGAGACAAGAATGACGTCCGATGCAATTCCTTATTGTGACCATAGATGTGTGTTCCCGTTTTTTAGGTAACAATTGACTTGCCTTTGCATGTGTTTGTAGCGTGCGCCGCGGTGGGGCAGGACACCGTCACTTTTTCGTTCAATGGACTCTGCCTTTGGCAGATATTTCTCATGCATAAGGACACGGTTTTGTCACTTTTAGGGTGGATGTGTGGTGTTTAGGTATAGATTTTGAAGAACATACATGTACAAAATACACCAGTAAGTGAAATAAAGTTTTTTTTCGTTTCCTCCCCAGGTCACGTGAGAGTGCTGTATGCCGGTCTCCTTGGCAACATCTTGAGGTTTATGTACATATCATGGCTGAAAAACCCTTGGTGGGTGCTTCCGTTCGAGTTCGTCCAAGGTAGGTCCAACATGAGTCTGGAAAAGCGTTCTACAAACCAAATGACATCATGGTGTGACTGCAGTGTTTACACACAGAACACTGCCGTACAGTAAGGATGCACTCTAATTGTTTTTAACCTCCACCTTGATATTACTGCAATATTACTAAAGTGTCGTAAAATCATTCTAACTCACATTTTAAGTCACTCAACTCAACTAAATTAGCAAACTTCCAACCTCAAGGTGCCTACTATAATCTCACCAGCTCCATTATGATCGTTCAGGATTTTCGAAGGTTCCAAGGACTTCGCGATAACTTAGTCTCACTTTTCGGGTTTATAACATAAAAGTAGTTTCTTTCAGAAATACTCTGTCCCCAGGATTTACCCCCATACAAAAACGCAAACAAAATGTACTGTCCGTAACAAAAATCCACATTATCCACTGAAACATACAATGCCATACATTATAGAGTCTTATAGTCATACGTCATCTTACGTACGTCTTCAGGTCTGACGCACGCGGCGGTGTGGGCGGCATGCTGTTCCTACATCACCCAGGCCATCCCCAAGTCCCTCAGGGCATCGGCTCAGGGCATCCTACAGGGCCTGCACCACGGACTTGGGCGCGGATGCGGCGCAGTATTCGGCGGCATTCTCGTGTATCACTACGGTAAGTCGACGGTAACCTTGTCAGGGTTGCGGGACATCCTTGTGTATAACTACGGTAAGTCGACGGTAACCTTGTCAGGGTTGCGGAGCATCCTTGTGTATCACTACGATTAGTCGACGGTAACCATGACAGGGTTGCGGGACATCCTTGTGTATAACTACGGTATATCGACGGTAACCTTGTCAGGGTTGCGGAGCATCCTTGTGTATCACTACGGTAAGTCGACGGTAACCTTGTCAGGGTTGCGGGACATCCTTGTGTATAACTACGGTATATCGACGGTTACCTTGTCAGGGTTGCGGAGCATCCTTGTGTATAACTACGGTAAGTCGACGGTAACCTTGTCAGGGTTGCGGGACATCCTTGTGTATAACTACGGTATATCGACGGTAACCTTGTCAGGGTTGCGGAGCATCCTCGTGTATCACTACGGTTAGTCGACGGTAACCTTGTCAGGGTTGCGGGACATCCTTGTGTATAACTACGGTATATCGACGGTAACCTTGTCAGGGTTGCGGGACATCCTTGTGTATAACTACGGTAAGTCGACGGTAACCTTGTCAGGGTTGCGGGACATCCTTGTGTATAACTACGGTATATCGACGGTAACCATGCCAGGGTTGCGGGACATCCTTGTGTATAACTACGGTATATCGACGGTAACCTTGTCAGGGTTGCGGAGCATCCTCGTGTATCACTACGGTAGGTCGACGGTAACCTTGTCAGGGTTGCGGAGCATCCTTGTGTATAACTACGGTAAGTCGACGGTAACCTTGTCAGGGTTGCGGAGCATCCTTGTGTATCACTACGGTATATCGACGGTAACCTTGTCAGGGTTGCGGAGCATCCTCGTGTATCACTACGGTAAGTCGACGGTAACCATGTCAGGGTTGCGGAGCATCCTTGTGTATCACTACAGTAAGTCGACGGTAACCTTGTCAGGGTTGCGGAGCATACTCTTGTATCACTACGGTAAGTCGACGGTAACCATGTCAGGGTTGCGGGACATCCTTGTGTATCACTACGGTAAGTCGACGGTAACCTTGTCAGGGTTGCGGAGCATCCTCGTGTATCACTACGGTAAGTCGACGGTAACCTTGTCAGGGTTGCGGGACATCCTTGTGTATAACTACGGTATATCGACGGTAACCATGACAGGGTTGCGGGACATCCTTGTGTATCACTACGGTAAGTCGACGGTAACCTTGTCAGGGTTGCGGAGCATCCTTGTGTATCACTACGGTAAGTCGACGGTAACCTTGTCAGGGTTGCGGAGCATCCTTGTGTATCACTACGGTATATCGACGGTAACCTTGTCAGGGTTGCGGAGCATACTCTTGTATCACTACGGTAAGTCGACGGTAACCTTGTCAGGGTTGCGGAGCATCCTTGTGTATCACTACGGTAAGTCGACGGTAACCTTGTCAGGGTTGCGGAGCATACTCTTGTATCACTACGGTAAGTCGACGGTAACCATGTCAGGGTTGCGGGACATCCTTGTGTATCACTACGGTAAGTCGACGGTAACCTTGTCAGGGTTGCGGAGCATCCTCGTGTATCACTACGGTAAGTCGACGGTAACCTTGTCAGGGTTGCGGGACATCCTTGTGTATAACTACGATTAGTCGACGGTAACCATGACAGGGTTGCGGGACATCCTTGTGTATAACTACGGTATATCGACGGTAACCTTGTCAGGGTTGCGGAACATCCTCGTGTATCACTACGGTAAGTCGACGGTAACCATGTCAGGGTTGCGGGACATCCTTGTGTATAACTACAGTAAGTCGACAGTAACCTTGCCAGGGTTGTGGAGCATCCTCGTGTATCAATGCGGTAACTCGACGGTAACAATGTCAGGGTTGCGGCGCTTCCTCTTGATCAATACGGTAAGTCGACGGTTACAATGTCAGGGTGGCGGGGCATCCTCGCGTATGGATACGGTAAAGAGACGGGCTGCAGGAATGTAGTGGTCAGGGCTTTAAGCGAGTGCTGGGGGCTTTAGGCATGGTGCAAGGACTGTAGTTGTTGGGGCTATAGTGGTAGGGACTATAGGAAAGATGCAGGCACTGTAGTGTTGTGGGCTAAAGGCGTGATGCAGGCACTGTAGTGTTGGGGGCTAAAGGCGTGATGCAGGCACTGCAGTGTTGAGGGCTAAAGGCGTGATGCAGGGACTGTAGTGTTGGGGGCTAAAGGCAAGATGCAGGGACTGTAGTGGTGGGGGCTATAGGAGAGATGCAGGGGCTGAAGGGGTGGGGGCTAGAGATGCAAACCTGTAGTGGTTTGGGGCTATAGGAGAGATGCAGGGACTGTAGTGGTGGGGGCTATAGGAGAGATGCAGGGACTGTAGTGGTGGGGGCAAAAGGAGAGATGCAGGGGCTGTAGTGGTGGGGGCTATAAGAGAGATGCAGGGGCTGTAGTGGTGGGGGCTATAGGAGAGATGCAGGGGCTGTAGTGGTGGGGGCTATTGTGGTGGGGGGTATAGGAGAGATGCAGGGACTGTAGTGGTTGGGGCTATAGGAGAGATGCAGGGGCTGTAGTGGTGGGGGCTATTGTGGTGGGGGGTATAGGAGAGATGCAGGGACTGTAGTGGTTGGGGCTATAGGAGAGATGCAGGGTCTGTAGTGGTGGGGGCTATAGGAGAGATGCAGGGGCTGTAGTGGTGGGGGCTATAGGAGAGATGCAGGGGCTGTAGTGGTGGGGGCTATAGGAGAGATGCAGGGACTGTAGTGGTGGGGGCTATAAGAGAGATGCCGGGACTGTAGTGGTGGGGGCTATTGTGGTGGGGGGTATAGGAGAGATGCAGGGACTGTGGTGGTTGGGGCTATAGGAGAGATGCAGGGGCTGTAGTGGTGGGGGCTATAGTGGTGGGGGCTATAGGAGAGATGCAGGGACTGTAGTGGTTGGGGCTATAGGAGAGATGCAGGGGCTGTAGTGGTGGGGGCTATAGGAGAGATGCAGGGTCTGTAGTGGTGGGGGCTATAGTGGTGGGGGCTATAAGAGAGATGCAGGGACTGTAGTGGTGGGGGCTATTGTGGTGGGGGCTATAGGAGAGATGCAGGGTCTGTAGTGGTGGGGGCTATAAGAGAGATGCCGGGACTGTAGTGGTGGGGGCTATTGTGGTGGGGGGTATAGGAGAGATGCAGGGACTGTGGTGGTTGGGGCTATAGGAGAGATGCAGGGGCTGTAGTGGTGGGGGCTATAGTGGTGGGGGCTATAGGAGAGATGCAGGGACTGTAGTGGTTGGGGCTATAGGAGAGATGCAGGGGCTGTAGTGGTGGGGGCTATAGGAGAGATGCAGGGTCTGTAGTGGTGGGGGCTTTAGTGGTGGGGGCTATAAGAGAGATGCAGGGACTGTAGTGGTGGGGGCTATTGTGGTGGGGGCTATAGGAGAGATGCAGGGTCTGTAGTGGTGGGGGCTATTGTGGTGGGGGCTATAGGAGAGATGCAGGGACTGTAGTGGTGGGGGCTATTGTGGTGGGGGCTATAGGAGAGATGCAGGGTCTGTAGTGGTGGGGGCTATTGTGGTGGGGGCTATAGGAGAGATGCAGGGACTGTAGTGGTGGGGGCTATAGGAGAGATGCAGGGACTGTAGTGGTTGGGGCTATAGGAGAGATGCAGGGTCTGTAGTGGTGGGGGCTATAGGAGAGATGCAGGGTCTGTAGTGGTGGGGGCTATAGGAGAGATGCAGGGTCTGTAGTGGTGGGGGCTATAGGAGAGATGCAGGGGCTGTAGTGGTGGGGGCTATAAGAGAGATGCAGGGGCTGTAGTGGTGGGGGCTATTGTGGTGGGGGCTATAGGAGAGATGCAGGGTCTGTAGTGGTGGGGGCTATTGTGGTGGGGGCTATAGGAGAGATGCAGGGACTGTAGTGGTGGGGGCTATAGGAGAGATGCAGGGACTGTAGTGGTTGGGGCTATAGGAGAGATGCAGGGTCTGTAGTGGTGGGGGCTATAGGAGAGATGCCGGGACTGTAGTGGTGGGGGCTATAGGAGAGATGCAGGGGCTGTAGTGGTGGGGGCTATAGGAGAGATGCAGGGTCTGTAGTGGTGGGGGCTATAGGAGAGATGCAGGGGCTGTAGTGGTGGGGGCTATAGGAGAGATGCAGGGGCTGTAGTGGTGGGGGCTATAGGAGAGATGCAGGGGCTGTAGTGGTGGGGGCTATTGTGGTGGGGGCTATAGGAGAGATGCAGGGACTGTAGTGGTGGGGGCTATAAGAGAGATGCCGGGACTGTAGTGGTGGGGGCTATTGTGGTGGGGGCTATAGGAGAGATGCAGGGACTGTAGTGGTGGGGGCTATAGGAGAGATGCAGGGGCTGTAGTGGTGGGGGCTATAGGAGAGATGCAGGGTCTGTAGTGGTGGGGGCTATAGGAGAGATGCAGGGTCTGTAGTGGTGGGGGCTATAGGAGAGATGCAGGGACTGTAGTGGTGGGGGCTATAGGAGAGATGCAGGGGCTGTAGTGGTGGGGGCTATAAGAGAGATGCCGGGACTGTAGTGGTGGGGGCTATTGTGGTGGGGGCTATAGGAGAGATGCAGGGACTGTAGTGGTGGGGGCTATAGGAGAGATGCAGGGGCTGTAGTGGTGGGGGCTATAGGAGAGATGCAGGGTCTGTAGTGGTGGGGGCTATAGGAGAGATGCAGGGTCTGTAGTGGTGGGGGCTATAGGAGAGATGCAGGGTCTGTAGTGGTGGGGGCTATTGTGGTGGGGGCTATAGGAGAGATGCAGGGACTGTAGTGGTGGGGGCTATTGTGGTGGGGGCTATAGGAGAGATGCAGGGTCTGTAGTGGTGGGGGCTATTGTGGTGCGGGCTATAGGAGAGATGCAGGGACTGTAGTGGTGGGGGCTATATGAGAGATGCAGGGACTGTAGTGGTTGGGGCTATAGGAGAGATGCAGGGTCTGTAGTGGTGGGGGCTATAGGAGAGATGCAGGGACTGTAGTGGTGGGGGCTATAGGAGAGATGCAGGGGCTGTAGTGGTGGGGGCTATAGGAGAGATGCA